CCCCAAAACCCCAAAACCCCAAAACCCCAAAACCCCTCATTAACTAAATTAGGCAATTCGAGTTAATTTTATTTGATTAGATTTATTCTAATATAATTTGAAATAATAAACAAGCAAAAACCAATATTTTAACAATTTAAAATAATGAGAGGCAAACAGCAAGTATAGCAGTATCAAAAGCAGTTTAAATCATCTGTCAATGGCTCCTCAAATCCACCCCATCCTTAGCATAAACGCTAAATATCAGTTTCCTAGTAGCAGAAGCATGTCTAAAATGACCTGACAGAGGACATCACATACCCTGATTCAGAGCTAGAGGAACTTGATGGCTCTGCCTTTGTCATAAGTGAGTAGTCTTCCCCAGAATTCTAAGTGCATCATTACCGAGGACAAGATGCGAGTTATTCAAGTCCAAGTAAAATAAGCAGTATAGTAAATGCAAATGAATTGGCTTCTTTCACTGAAAATGGCAATATATACAACAATTAAGCCATTTTCAGGAATAGTTTGGCCAATAATAATAACAGTATTATAAGTGGTGGACATTAAATTGCAAATAGTCGGTAAAGCAGATATCAAAGCCAAGATAGAGGACTTAGCAATGAAAGAATGGCTGGAGGAGATAGGGGTCAACCTATGTACTACAACACTTTATCGCCCATACAAGAGTAAAGCCAAAACACCACTTTAAACCGCGAGAGTATGATCAAGCAAGCCATTAATAAAGATCGAAAGGATAGCATTGGGAATGCGAATGTGGACTACTTTAGCTTTGAGTGTAGAGAGCCTAATAGCCAAGCAAGTCAATAACAATAATCTAAATTCCACCAGTAGCATCATGAGATGCTTAAGAAATAAATCAAACAAAAACTTAATAGTAAAAATTCAGTGGCTCATATTAGATCGACTGTGGAATAACTCTTCATTTATTATTGTGATTTCTCAATAGAAAGGGCTCAAAATAGCAATTTCATCAAGCAAGGCAATTTTATCAGACTGTTAAAGGACTCTCAGATCTTGTCTCATAATCCTTAGAGCTTGAATAATACTCATAATTATACTAACTCTCATTTGCATAATAGTCAAGTCCTAAATGAAAAAGAAGTCAATTTAATGCTGTCCAGAGAGTTAGGGAATTCATCAGCAAAGACAATGGACTTCTAGACATTTTTAAATATGCTAGTCAAAATAGCTGTGATTTTATTTGAAAGAGAAGATGGTGTGAATAATCCTAAGCTTTCATTGCAGAGGTTGCTAGATATGCATATTCTGCCTTTGCTTACATTCATTGAACAATAAGTGAAGGAGTAGATTTAAAAGAAGTTTAATAAGGATCAGCAGTAAAACTCAGTCACTGATAGTGGGCAATATATTCCTCATGTCTCACTAGATATGATATAAAACATCGAGATAAAAGAAGAAGACCTGTATATTATGAAGTCAATTAACCCAGTCATTATTGAGATTTACAATCATTACATATCTGCCTCACCTGCATCAACTACCTCAGATAATCCAATCAAGAGATTTTTCAGATTTCTGAAGGAATTTGAGATTTGCCCCTACTTGTTGAATCAGCGAACCTGCTTCATTATCTATTACTACACAGTTCTTTACCACTCACAGAATGAAAGCTTGAACTACTCCACAGATACACCATATGATGTTTCTCTAAGCGAAATGATGAATACGATTAAAATAAAACTTGAAACTGGGAATAGCCCAACTAAGGGTAGATTAAAAACAAAAAAGATATAGGTAAATAATGAACATCCTGAACTCACCTTTGACAAATTCTATCTTGCGCTTTATAGAATGTCTATTATATTCTACGATTTAAACCATCCCAAGCCTAATTCATAGGAGCATGATATCCCTCATAGCATAGGCCAAAACCAATCTACATTTTTAAATGCCAAGAAACTATTGATGATGTTAAATCGAATGGAGTTAACTAATGGCTTTACCTAGTTTATCAATTATCAGAGGTAGTTTAAATCTATAAACATATAATACACTCTCACTCCACATAGAAACGTGCTGAGCCAACTGATTTTGAACTAGTAACATTTTACCTCTTAGTTAGAGCTAGAATACTACAGAGAGAATTATCTTCCAGACTTAGATGTATACAGTCTCTGCAAACTATACATTGAACAACAAAATTAAACTAATTAAGAAATTATACCTAACTATAATAATCCAGCCATATACAGCAATCTGCAAGGAGGGGGTGTGGAATCTGGTAATATTTAGAATCTAAGCTTGAGGGGTAATAAGGTGTCAATGGGAGCAGGGATACAAGCAGTATAGGAAAATTTCTAAAATCAGATGGAGATATTAGTAGAACAATAAAATGATAATCTGAGGAGGATATTTCAGTATTACTGTTCATTTGGTGATCCAATGAATATAGACAAAATGAAGAGTAATAAATTCGTAAAAGTTTTCTCCGATGCTGGCCTTATTTAAGAGACAAAGTGCAATATTCCAAAAAGTAACTTTAAGACTCCTATTTAAAAGAAAACTAGGCCCCAAAATTCAGCACATTAGTAAAGTAAGCAACCCCAGCAAAACTCAGAGTCGAAACTGGAAAAATCAGAGATAGATTTGATCTTCAAAAGTTTGGCCTCTAAAGTAACAGTACAGTCCTCGACCCATTTAAAGACCCACAGTCCACTCAACTAATCATCACCTTAGTCCTCTACCTTAAGATCTCTCAAAACTCCTAACAGAGATATTCCTCGTGGTGGAAACTATAGTGGTTCAAAACTTTCGCATACCTCCTCTCGCAACTTTACCAAAACCATTCTTGTCTCTTTGGATTAGAATTCAATAAGCTTTTCCTAGTTCAAAGAAGGACTCTTCCAAGTAGCTAAATAATAAGCTTAACTTCAAGGTATAAATGATTGTGTATGCTATATCAACATGCTTCATGATAAAATCATCCCCTTAGTTAAGAGTATCAATCAGGATAAGGCTCTCTTCAGTAATCAGATATCCTCTATGCTAACTCAGCTTGAAAATGACGATGTGCTTATCTTGTTAAGTGATCTCTACACAGTGATATACCCTGTCTTCGAGGTGTACACTGAGGAAACTAATAAGCTATATATTGATATTGATAGATATTCAAAATTCTGCTCAGACTTTTCGATATTTCCAGATGTCGTCACTAAGAGTGAGATGCACAAGATATTTAGTAATTTGGCTATTGATGTTAACCCACCACAGTCTTCTAGAATGATGAATAGGAGTCAGACAAGTGGAAGATCTATGAATAACAACAGTAGTATAGTAGAGTAATTGTAATAAAACTACAAGGCTCTTGACTCGCATTTATTCATTTAGGCTCTTGGCTTTTGCGCATTACACATAAGCATCAATGATAATTCTAGAATTCTAGACAAAGAGCAGGAGGCTTTGGAAAAGATTTTTATGCTGATAGAGAAACTAGCCATGTCTGAAGGCATAAAGAAGACTTGCAAGAAGCCTGAGTAGAAGTATAAGTCAAATGCTCTTGACAAGCTTGATATACTGTAATATTTTAGAAAGAAGTATAAGTGGTACTTCGAGATGAAGAGCTACTAGATAAACTTCGATCGCACTATGAAGATATAGAAACCAGCATTCTAGATACTAACTATGATGGATCATAGAAGTCAATCTAATGCTACACTTTCAGCCAGGAAGCCTGATATGAACCAGACCTTGAGCAGCAACGGCAAGTACTCTAATAAAATGTCGACTCTGTCTCAGAGTAAAGCCAGTGCATATAAAAAGGCTAATTTGAGAGGAGAATTGAAAACAGTGAAAACAGATCTATTCTCAATGGTATTAAAAGATTAACATATGTGATACAATTTAATGAATTATATATATAGCAATAATTACTTGTGATTAAAAAAGGAATATATTTTGATTATAAAATTATATTTATAATGTTTATTTAAGACAAATGGGGTTTTGGGGTTTTGGGGTTTTGGGG